TATACCACAGTTTGTATGAACATACCTGTTACTAGTTTCCTAGGGCTCTCTTAAGAAATTACCGCAAACTTCATGGTTTAAAACAAGAGAAGTTTATTCTCTCACAGCTCTTAAGGCCACAAGGCTGAAATCAAGCATGTGGCAGCCTTACTCCAATCTCTGCCTTTGTCTGCACATGGCCTTTTCCTTTGTCTCTCTGTGTCTTTCTTCTCTTCTGTCTCTTATATGGACAGTGTCATTGGATTTAACGCCCACCCTAATCAAGGATGGTTTCATCACAAGATCCTTGATTATATCTGCAAAGATCCTTTTTTCCAATTTAGGTCACATTCACAGGTTCCAGGTGGATGTATCTTTTGGGGAGCCACTATTCAACCCATCACAGTATCGCAGTTTGTTTATCTAGTCACCTAATAATAGACATCTGAATTATTTCTCTCTTTTTTTGGCTATTATGAGTAAAGCTTCCATGAATATTATTGTACAAGGTTTTTTGTGGATATGTTTTCAGCCTCACAATTTTTGAATTCCAATTCTAATTATCTTTACATAAGATGTAATTAATTTTCTTTTTAGTGATAATTACCCATAATAACATTTTTAATTCTGGAAGGAATTTCTGTAAGAATTGATCAACCTGCATACCCCAACTTAAATATGTTGCATAACTGAAAACATAATACTGCCAAGAGACAAGATATGGAATTCTAATAACTATCTTCATTTTTGTTTCTGAAAACATTATCATGAAACAAGCAAGTTTCGGATCAGGAAATGTTGACTTTAACTCCTTAAAATAACAGCAATATCTTATTACAGTCAAAAACAAAAACAAAGACGGCTTGACTCCATTCTATCAGTTCTTTTGTTTTTGCTATGATATTTTGCATTAGTGCTTGTAGCCATCACATAGGCTGAAGTTATCATCTCATCATGGGCTTGACTAACATCAACAGTTTCACTGGTATGGGATTTAAATGCGGCTCCTTAATGAACAAACAAATAAAGCCATCCATCTGGACTGCTCTCCCACCCTTAGATTCTGATAGACCCAACCTTAAAAGAACTACTGGGATGTGGTTCAGAGGCTTTCTGCCTGTGTGACTGGCTGCCACTCTACAAAGAAAGCTTCTTGGAGGGGAGGGACTCTGCCTCATTCATTTGTGTTTCCTCCAACTCCAGACCCAGCTCAATGCTTTCTTAACTTTATAAGTGTTTCGTGACTAAATAGTGCCTGTGAATAAAAAATAAGAATATGTTGATAACCCTATTCTTCACAGTACAGTAATCCCAGTAATGCAGAACAGTTCCCGATAATGAAATTTCTTAGAAATGGTTTTAATAAACAATTCCTTTTTTTAAAAAAATCTATTATAAAGTCTCCAGGATTATTATTTATTACACTTGATGATTTCTTATTGAATATCTTCTTCATTTGTTCAACACTTCTAGGAACTGATGATTGGCTACACCATTCATTTATAAAAGCAATTTAAAACACCACTCGGGCCCTGATGACACTTGGCAAGTGCAACAGAGAAAAACATAGAGTTCTCATTATACTTTTTAAACAGTTTAAAAAATGGTTCTGTAAAATGGCTTGGAGTATTTTTTAATAGGAACAAAATTGTGTAATGTGCTCTGTCATTAACTCCCCAGTCTTTTGCAATGTCTATAAATCAAAAATCTTACTTAACTTTTTTTGAAAATGTAGATACAGCTCCATTATTTTGCAATATAATTGCTTTGAAACTTTTGCATGGATAAATTTGGAATTTTCACTAAAGTTAATTTTCCGTTTTTACTTTATTCTGTCCCTTTAATTTTCATTTTAACTTTAGTAGGCCATTCTGTGAAACCAGAGTTGACAAACATATTCCTTTGAAATCATAATTTCTTCATTTTGACACAATTATCCACAGGATGAGGTTTAACAGAAGAGACAGCGAAGACTATGGCAACACTAATGCTAGATTGTGTAACTTATGAGAAATATTTTTAAAAGATACATAAGTGCTACTTTCAAAAACACAATTTCAGAATCAAATTAGGCATTTTAAATGGATTTCATATGTAACGTTATTTATCAGATTGTATTATTATCCAGACTTTTTAACCTCCTCTACTAATTTGGGAATATTTTTGGCTACAAGTAACAAAATAACAGACTAATAGATCTTAAGCAAGAGAATTTTATTTATCTAACATAGTAAGTTCAGAATTAGGTACTTGCTGGCATTGGTTTAGCAGTTTAATGTAAAGGCTTAGGTTGGTATCTCTGTGAATCCCTTTGCCTTCTCTTCATCGTCACAAGATGGATGCAAAAGCTCCAAATATCACAACCATTTTCAAAGGCAGGAAGCAGGGGACACTACTAGACAGAGCTTTCTACTTGCCTCATTTTTTTTTTACCAGGAAAGACATATCTTTCTCAAGCCTATGTTTGTTAAGCATGTGGAATAGACTAATACTTGCTCTATGACTAGGGAGAGAAGAATTAGGAATGGCTAATTCTTAGACATTCACCCATTCATTCAAGATATTTATCCATTTACTCAAGAAATATTTCTTAATGCCTACTATGTGCAAGACACTATTCTAGAGTTATGAGCTATATCTGTGAACAAAACAAAGAGCCCTGTCCTTGAGAAAGCCTATTTTCTAACAGAGGATATTGACATTTCAATTGGATTTTAAGAGATGAGTTGGATTTTTATAAATAAATACAATTGGGAAATGCATTTCATTCAAAGGGAACAGCATGAGTAAAGACAGAAATATGAATATGTATGTCCTGTTTGGGAAACATCAAGTAGCTCCATGAAGCATAGAATACATGGTGTGGGCTGAAAAGGCAAGTCACTGTCCGGTTGTGAAGGATTATATCCAGGGAAATGTGAGTTTTGCCAGATCAAAACTAGCATCTCTCAGAGTTAGTACCAAAGTTTAACAGATATCTTCCTTTGGAGGTTCTACAGACACCGTGAACTTATCATGTCCCAAATGGACTCATTATATTTCTCCTGAAACCTACTCTTACTCCTGTATTTCCTAACTTGGTTTCGGCCTTCACCATTTCTCACCTGGGCTGTTGCCATTATCTCTTGCCTGTAGTCTCCCACTCATCTAATCCATCCTTTCAGCTGCTTTAGAAAGTGATTTTTCTAAAACTTATATAACCCAGAGGTGAGATGGAGGCCACAGATTATGAAGTATTGGTAAATTTGGTAAAGGGGGAGAGTGGGAAGGGAGGTTGTTACATTCGTATTACTTTTCTATTGTCATGTAACAAATTAACCACAAACTTTAGAGGCTTAAGATAACACACATTTATTATTTCACGATATCTGTGGGTCAGGAGTATGGCATGCTTTTGCTGGGTCCTCTGCTTAGGATCTCACCAGACAACAAAGTGTCAGCAGGGCTGTGTTCTCATCTGGAGGCTTGACTGGGCAAGAATCTGCTTCCAAGCTCACTCAGGTTGTTGGCAGAACTTATTTATTTGTGGTTGTGTGACTCAGATCTCCACTGCTTTCTGGCTATTGGCTGGAGGCTGCCCTCAGCTCCTAGGGGCCACCACAGTCCCTTGCCATGTGAACTTTCCCAACAGGTTGCTCACTTTATCAAACCAGTAAGGAGAGTCTCTAGAGTGAGTCAGCTAGCAAGACAGAGCAATGTGATCTGGGAGTGACAGCTCATCATCTTTGCTATATTCTATTCATTGTAAGCAAGTTACAGGTCCTACCCACATTCAAAGGGGTATGAACACCAGAGATGTGTTCACCAGGAGGCAAAGATCACAGAGAGACACCTTAGAGTCTGTCACAACACTCACACAGTTTTCTCTATCCTCGGGATCTACTCAGTGGGTACTGTCTCTGGGAATGATCTTGAAATGAAGCTTAGTTTCTACTAAAATAAACAAACAAAAAACCGACCACTCAAAGTGTTTGTGAGTTAGTACTTTATGGAAGGTATAGGGATGCTGTTTTTGGCAATTTTGCTAGCTTCTCTGTAAAATAACCCTCATTCCCCAAATAGCTTTATCAATAATAAAGGTAATATTTTTAGCTCTAACTGCCTAGCTCTAATTAGAGTCACTAAGCTCCCTTCCAGTTCTGAAATTCAGTGATCCTAAATGAGATTAGGTGGGTATACTTACTGAACATAAAGGCTCCCTACAGAAAACATTATTGTCAAAAGTACATGTAATTCTTTTTATTAATTGAGATGTAATTAAGATATAACATTAGGGGCTGGCTCTGTGGTGTAGTGGTTAAGTCCAGCATGCTCCACTTCAGCAGCCTGAGTTCATAGGTTCGGATCCCAGGCATGGACCTACACCACTCATCAAGCCATGCTCTGGTGACGACCCACATACAAAATACAGGAAGATTAGCACAGATGGTAGTTCAGGGCTAATCTTCCTCAACCAGAAAAAGAGGAAGATGGGCAACAGATGTTAGCTCAGAGCGAATCTTCCTCACCAAAAAAAAAAAAAAAGATATTAGTTTGAAGTGTACAACATAATGATTTGATATTTGTATAATTGTGAAATGATCACCACAATAAGTCTAGTTAACATCCATGACCACACAGTTACAGAAATTTTTTTTTTGTGATGAAAACTTTTAAGATCTACTCTTTTAGCAACTTTCAAATATACAATACAGTGGTGTTAACTACAGTCACCATGCTGTACATTACATCCCCATGACTTATTTATTTTATAACTGGAAGTTTATAACTTTTGACCACCTTCACCCATTTAGCCTTCCCCCACACTCCCAACACCCCACCTCTGTCAACCACCCATCTGTTCTCTGTATCCATGAATTCGGTTATATTTGTTTTGTTTTGTTTTTTTAGATTCTGCATATAAGTGAGATCATACGGCATTTGTCTTTCTCTGTCATATTTCACTTAGCATAATGCTTGCTTTAAATTGCTGCATAAATTTGATATGACGTGGCTAGCTTTCCTTTTGCTCCTGTTTCCAGCCAGAAGCACCCTTGCAGGACTCTACATACACTCTTGACATATATGACACGGAGATGGATCTGAATAAGAAAAGGTTAGAGGAAGAGAGCTACTCCACCATGACTCCACAGAATTTTGCTAAGTCATTCTAGCTACTCACCAACATTTGTTTGCAAAGGTGAGATCTGGCCACCTTGCCCCTAGAAGCATAAGGCACATACATGGAGTTGGGATATGAGAGTCTAGCTTGTTTTTCAGAACATTTCTATGCCTCCAAAAGCCTGGAATAGGAACCAAGAAAAACGCTTCTCCTTAATGTGCTTGGAAAGGTATGATACCAGCTCTGCTCTGGATAAGAAGGGGGAGAATTGAGCCGGAATTAAAATGTTATAACATTAAATTAAAAGTAATTAAAATGTTTATAACATTAAAATGTTATAGTCACAATCACATTACCAAGTGCAGTATCATCTAGGATAAATCTGTTTTTGAATGAAAACTCCCCTCAAAGGCAGCTGTTTCAATTTAATGCCAGTTTTTCTCACTCTGTCACATGTAGTTTTCTGGTGATAGAAGAGATATGAAAATAGAAGATTGAAAGAACAATGTGAAATTAAATATAAAAGCATGACATTTAATTGTCAGCGATGTTAAGTACATATCTAAAACTAAATCATGTGTATCTGTCTTCAATAACTTAAATTCCCAAAGCATGTCTGAAAATGCCTTGCGTGGAGTTGAATGTTGAATTTAGTATGTGGTGAGTAAAATCGAGGGAGAGCTCAGGCCTGAGCTGTAACCTCCTCAGTAATATTAAACAACTACTAGGAAATAATTTACTTTTCTCCCTTATTGTCTGCTAATTGAATGTTTGTGTTCCCCCAGAATTCATATGTTGAAACCTAATCCCCCATATGATGGCATTTGAAGGTGGGGGTCTTTGAGACGTGATTACATCATAAGGATGGACCCTTCATGAGCTTAATGCCCTTATAAAAGAGACCCCGGAAAGCTCCCTTGCCCCTTCCACCGTGAGAGGACACAGTGAAAAGGCCACCGTCTATGAACCAGGAAGTGGGCTCTCATCAGACACTGAACCTGCTGGGGCCTTGATCTTGGACTCCAGATCTGTGATAAATAAATTTATGTTGTTTATAAGCCACCCAGGCTATGGTATTTTGTTATAGCAGCCTGAATGGACTAAGATATTGTCTGTTTTGTCAAAATAATGAAACATAATAAAATAAATGTAATGCTTGAATAGTAATTAATATATTAAGAACTATTAGAAAGTGCCCAGAAAAATAATTTTAAACACCCAGAAAAGTAAGAGGTAGGGGTTACAGCAGATGGTAAGTCCTGGTAAATTGTGTAACTCACTACTCAAAGTTACTTAGGCAAAGAGCCGAAGTTTTTAACTTTTGGTGTATGCTAGTTGTGTAATAGTCAACAATATAGTATGAAAAGATGATACTTTTCTGGTTTATATTATGCCAATTCTGCCAAAAAGAAATACCATGCTATTTTTAGCATATATTCCATATGTTTATTGCTTGCAATAAATTTGCAGATTTAATTTATTGCAGGCAATAAATCTGATGACCAAATTTATTATTTTTTTCAGTATTAAATCAGAAACTCTTTTTCCTTGTATGTTTGAAATTCATAGGTCATACTCACAGCATTGTCTACTGTCAGGGTTGGTGTTTCTGCCAAGGAATGAATGTCAGAGTGAAAATGTTGCAATCTCATGAGACATAGTTCCATTTAGAAGCTTAATGATAAATTTCTATTGATAATTAATGATAAATATTGGTAGTTTGAAAAACAAATATTAGTGGGCAGACACAGCCTCTTCTGACCACCTCTTTGAAGTGTCTTTGTTACTCCACATATAGCTTTCAAGGTTTGGGCCTTTGAAATGTCAGGGTCTCTAGAAATGTTATAAAGGATCTAACTACAAAGAGAAAACCTTGAGCTTTTTGTGTTATGACCACGTGAAAAGGGTTCACTTCCCAAACAGCTGCAAGAATGAAACTAGTGTTTCAGTTGGTTAGAGTTTGGGTAGAATACTCCATGCTTAGAGTAGTGTCCTAAGCTACTTCCAATAATTAGTTTAAAATATGCTAAAGAGATCTAAGAATTAGAATTTTTTCAGAACTCTTGTTCTTACTCTTTTAGGTGGAAGAAACAGAATACGTTTCTACATGTCTTTTTTTTTTTAAGCTGTATAGACTAATAATAATATAGACAGGTTTTTTTGATATACGTTTACTGGACTAGAGGCAATGCAGCAAAATTCTTAAGTGAGAAGTTGTGTATACTGTACAATTTTTAAAAATCATCATCTGTAGGAAATGTTCCCCTAAGAACCTCAGTCCAATATTCTTCACAATTTTTAACCTTCAATTAGAGCTAGATAAAGTTCAGCAAGGCAGTTCTTTGGGACAGTTCTATAACTTAGAACATCTATGAACCTCATTGTGAGACTAAAATATCCCTGGAAATATTATATGGAGAAAATTGTGTGAATGGTGTTTTGGTGTTGATGGGTTAAGAGAAATATTTTGGTAAACTTCTTGGGGCTGATGGGTGGAGTCTCCTTTCCACAGGGCATGCTGAGAATAATAAACCATCTTTAATGATGATAATAGGGTGTGCAAGTTTGAGATTGAAGCTGAGTTGCTCAGAACAATAGAGAGGCAATGTGCTTGTTCTTTGCTGTTTGTGGTGATTTTAAAATATGTCCATAAATCTTTTGATACGCCTCCCTTGAAAAGGTGGTGCTTACCACCCTCCCTCTTTCCCCTGCTTGGGTGTAGGCTTGATTTCTTGAGTACCGCATAAGTGACAAAATATTGTGACATCCTCCTTGCTCTTTCTCTTAGATCACTTGCTCTGGGGGAAGCTAGTGGCCACATTGTAAGGACATTCAAGCAGCATTATAGAGAGGTCCACATGGTGAGGAACTGAGTCCTTCTCTGAGTTAGCCACCTTGGAAGTAGATCCTCCAAACCTTCATAAGACTACGTCCTCAACTGACAGCTTGACTAAGTCATGAGAGACCCTGAGCTAGAACCACGTAGTTAAGCCTCTCCTCAATTTCTGACCCACAGAAATTTCCAGATAATAAATGTTGTTTTAACCTGTTGAGTAATTTATGTAGCAATAGATAACTAATGCACTCTTCCTCCATTAAGCATTTAGCTTTACCCCTAAATAAGTGTTAAACATATATTTTTTAGATATTGCTTTGAAAATATGCCAAATTGTTAGTCTGCCTGGGGTATCCACATACTTTAGTCTGGACTATCCCCCAAATTCCTGTAAATTCCTATATTCTAAGGGCAGTAATCCTGCCAACGTACTTCTGAACTTCTGACCACTTTCTTTTGCTTATTTCTTCAATGAGAATAAAAATGTAGTTCTTCTTACTAGCATGCTTGATACCATGGGAATATAAAAATATGGACAAAATATGGTCTCAAAGAATTTACAGTCTCTCTTCATATGTGATATCATAACAGGAGAGCTACATCTTGAGAAAGGCTATTTTCACTATGTAAGTGATACCAAACCTCTTAATCTCAAATTTGTGTGCTCAATGCACAGTAAGCCAAACACTGAGACATCAGTGCTTGGAGATGGAAAAAGGTTTATTTGAATTGGCCAAGATGAGAAGTGGGGAGCATGGGTTCTCTCAAATCCAGCTTAATAAGAGAAGAAAGCAGAGGATTTTATAGAGCTAAGGGGTGTGGCAGGAGTTTTAGAGAAACAAAGGGGCAATCCATGATTCTTTCACTCATGATAAACCCCTGGGCAATCTGGCTTCTGTGTGTGAGAGGCAGCTGGGGGTTGGGTATTTGGTGATACTTGAAGGAATTCTCTTTCTTCTGTAAAACAAGCTCATAAATCTGTGTGACCCTTGAGTTACCCCTCAGGTTAAACGAGAGAACAGTAAATTGGCAAGATTAACTTCTTTTCATAACAAGGTTGAAAGGTAATCTTATTGAATATTTACAGTAACCCTCAGGTACCCAGCTTCATAAGAACCAGAAATGCAACATTATTGAGCTCATAACTTATTGGACAAAGTAACATTCTGTTATGGAAACAAAGGAAACATGAGAGCTTGTCAAATGTCTCTGAAGTAATTGCCAGACCTTAATTGGGGTTTCTTAGGATTAAGTTATATGTTGCATTCAGTTGTAAATGGCATTTGGATACATTCTAAGACCCTAAAATGCCTTATTTAGGAACAGGGAATATCCACAAAGAATCTTTCAGACTTTGGGATTTCGGGTATCAATAATACATATAATTTTTAATTATGGACATAGGTAACTAATCTTTTTCTTTTTACTGAGGACATAAAAAGCAAAACAAACAAAAACTTACTATCTATATCATAATTATTCCATAAAAGAAAGAACACTTTAATGCCTCTCTCCCTGAAAATGGAGGAAGGACATGATTTCAGAATTGAGGGCAGTTCTTAAATTGAATGAATTTAGCTCACTACATTGCCCAATTTTTTCATTTTGCCCTGGGTCAGTGAAAATTTTACTGACCAGGGACCGGCCCCGTGGCTGAGTGGTTAAGTTCGCGCACTCCGCTTTGGTGGCCCAGGGTTTCGCTGGTTCGGATCCTGGGCACGGACATGGCACTGCTCATCAAGCCACATTGAGGTGGCGTCCCACATGCCACAAGTAGAAGGACCCACACCTAAAATACACAACTATGTACTGGGGGGATTTGGGGAGAAAAAGCAAAAAAAAAAAAGTTTACTGACCAGTATCCCGTGACCTGTAATGGGGATTGGCAAACTTCTGGCCTGGGGGCTGAATTTGGCCTTCAGCCTTTCACTGGGGCTTGAGCTAAAAATGGTTTTTACGTTTGTAAAGGGTTATATAAAAAAAGAAGAATGAGACAAAGACTGTTTGTGGCCCACAAGGCCTAAAATATTTACTACGTGACCTTTTACAGAAAAAGTTTGCAAACCTCTTACCTATATCACCCTAGAATTAGATCTCTTTAGAAAAGACTCTGATGTTGCTACAAACCATTGAGATTACTATTGAGTGGTCACTACTAGGGGTGGTGTCAAGGAAAGATTAGACTTGAGGTTACTTTGGTGTATTCCTAAAACTTCTACTATCTCTGAGACCTTTGGCAAGTCACTGAATCTCAGTGAGCCTTAGTTATCTCATATCTAACTTGATAATGGTTGAAGTCACTTCTAAATCTAAAAGTCTGCTTCTAGGATACTACCAATTTTCTATGGTTTATCCTCCATCATATTCAGTTTCTCCTCTCAAATTCAACAACTAACAAGATATTGATGAGCTTTCTTAATTAATCTCCTTGTAAGCTAGATTTCTTGGACTTCTCTGTTCACTTTGACCAAAATGGCTCTTCAGAAATGCAATTGATTTTCATAATAGGAAAAATTCTAGAAACAGAAAACTATTATTTGTACTGGCAGACTCTAAAGTGTGAAACATTCTTAGTAGGTATGGTAATTAAGGAAAGGTAAGAAATATACATTTGCTCACTTCTAAAACATTTCAGATAGACTTCATGGATAGATCTTAGTTCTAGGAATACTGATGACCTACCAAAATTCACAATAAGTAATTCTAAAGTTGGTGTCATTTCAACTGAGAAATGTAGCATTTTAGAGATATTAAATATATAAAATTATCTTCCTACTTGGTCAGAAGAAAGATACCTTACATTTCAGTTCAATAACTAATTATGATAGATGCAATCTAATGACAAGCCAAAAGAAAGATATTTATTCTTGCTTAATTATCCCAAGCAGAGATTTCTTCTGGAGTAAAAGAAACATTTGAACATTAAAGTGACCTTTTTAATATTTATCTTTTTTTTTTTTTTTTGCAACGAAGCTTAAATTTATATGATAGGATCCAAAACAGCATGCTCATCTAGGTCAAATATATTATTTACTTATTAAATCTGTTTCTTTAAAAAATTCCATTGTGAAAGAATTATTCTATGGCTTCCTGCAAATAGGTAATAAATCATAATATTAAGACAAACTTAGAAGAGCTAAGGATAGATAGATTTCAAATAAAATTTAAAAATTTATTGTGCTATGACCACTTATATCTTTGATAACAGTTGCACTTTTTTTTTTTTTTTTTTTGCAAAAGCATCT